TGGAAGGTTTGGCTCCCATCTTTGCTGTGGGACAAGCAGTTTGGCTGTGCATGGTGTGGGTGCTGGGCTGAATAAGCTCAGATCAAAGGGAAACTCACCCAATGCATGATGTGGTCCTACAGCTGGGCTTGGGCTGGGTTTTGAACAATGAGGGTTCAATTACTTTGTAAGCACAGGAGGAAATTTGCATATGAAGTAATAGGTCTTTTTGAGAGTTGGAAAGTGCTTCTGCTGTCTTGCTTTTATATTCTATGGCTGTATTTAAGTTGAGAATTCTCTGCTTTCTGGGGGGAGGTTGGGCTGTTTGGGTTTTGGTAGTGGATATTTGCTTGGGGTTTTTTTTTGGTCTTTTTTGGTCTTTTTAAAAAGTTATTAACTTTCTGAAGATTAAAGGAAGATGAGTAAGGAAAAGGATGCCAGCATTAGGGGAGAACATCTCAGCTCAAGCATTTCAGGGATTTAGCTCATTGCAAACTGGACAAATTTGGAGACATGTTTTTTCATTCCCAGCCACATTAAGGATCTGGTAACCTTTCCAATGGGGCCTGGCACAGGACACGTATGCAAGGAGTGCACAGGTTTTGTCAGCAGATGATGCTTTGATTATGAAGCAGGCTTTCTGCTCACATGATTAATCATTGATGGGGACCATGTTTCTCTATTCTCTAATAGAGTTTTGAGTGTAGTGTACCCAGAAGCCTGGCTGAAGGCTTGGCTGCCCCAGCTCACAGCTGCTCAGCAGCTTCACGTGATGAAGCTTATAGTGGGGAAAATGCTACAAACTGGCTTCTGTCCATTGGAGGTATGAGCCAAATTGCCACTGGTCTCTTACTCAGGGCTGCATTGATAGTGTCTATGGAGCTTTTCCAGGCTCCCAGGGGATTGTGGTAATGCTTCCTGCCCAGCTACACCAAGCAGTGATAAATTTAGACTAAGTGAGCCATAATGACAGTACAGGAACCAAAGGAGTGCTGACCGCCCTCCTGGGAGGAGGGTCGGGCTGTCCCTACAGATGTCTATCCCTCGACCTGCCAGCCCTGACCTGACCTCTCTACCCACTCTGGGCAGCCTGTGCCTCCTCAACACCCGTTTGTACTCATGCTGTCCCTGTTTCTTACAATCATATCAATCAGTCATTTCCTTATGATGTATTTTCCCCCTCCAACAAGAGATCAGGGTACTGTGAAGCTATAGACCTCTGATAAGGACACACACTGCAGCTGGCCGTATCTCAAACCTGCAGCTCAGAGGAGGTCACACCAGCTGCCAGCTGATGTGAGGGCATACCTGGCCCCAGCTCATTGCTGTGTTATTTCCCAAGAGCACTCTCACTGTGCTGCTTTGCCGGAGTCTGGCACAGATATCTGCAATTCCAGTTGGAGTGGGGGCGAGTGCGGAGAGATGCTTAGAGAGGGCTTTTCAAGTTAAGGCTCTGTTATTGTTCCATTTCCAGCTTGTGATTGACAAGTACACACTGCTCCCACCTCCCAGTGGACTGACTTCTGAGCAGGGAATGATTGTAGAAGATATTGTACTCTGAATGAAATTTTAGGAGCCATAATTATCCATTGCTGTCACTATGATTACTGCTGTCTGTGCTGAACTAATGAGAACCCAGCCACACTAGGCTGCCTGGTACCTGTGCCAGCAGTGTTGATGGGAAGTGGCGAGAGACAGGGCTTCGGGAACTTGCCTTCTATGTGTATTGGGCAAGAGCATGGTGCATCTTCTTGGTAGGACAAGACCAGCATGCTGGTCACCTTCCTTTGGCATTGTCACGGAGACCTCAAACAGTCTGTGCTGCATTTCAGTCTGAAATAGGTGGTTGAAATAGGGCAAATGATGGGTGACTTTAAAGTGCTTGTTTTCTCTGGCTGTAAAGGAAGCTCCATGGTGGCACCCGAGGACGGGTTTATGATCCTGCCCTTGTGCAGAGGGCTGCTGGTCTTGTGCAGGGGTCTAGCATTAGTGGGGCCCTGTGTGTGTCTGTAATTCAGAGCTCCAGGACTCAAGCACCTAAGATGTGTTTTTCTAACAGTGAGAAGAAATAGCGGATTTTAAAAGCTTAGCATGAACCAGTATTGTTGGCGCCTCTGCACTGTGAAAAACATGACGTTAACTTCCATCTGCCGTGTACCACAGTGTTTGTAGCTTTGAGGCTTGCTGCTGGGGGGGAGCTGCAATATCAATGCTGTTCTTCAAACACCTAAAATGTTACCAGTAGCTACTGCATTGTGTGTTACTTTAACGCTGTGAAACACGGGTAATATTTACTCAGACTTCAGGGAACAGGCATGATGCCTTTGCTCAGATTCCTTGCATGTGCGGAGGAGCCACAGCCAGGCTGCTTCTCCCCTTTGTGCCCACAGCCACCAGCTATGGTCTGTCTACCTGCAAAGCAGGTTGTGACATGGGAATCTGGGTGCTTTGCAAGGCTAAGCACCTGTTAGAGGAGCAGTGTGGGAATCTGTCCTTTGGGATTGGGCACTGGGTAATTCCTGTTGCTAATGTGGCATGTACAGGGAAAATGAATAGGAGGCATTCCTGCCTGCTCCCAATTGAAAACACAGCCCTGCACTGTAGTAACTGTCACCAGCAAGTGCTTGGCAGAGGGATTTGGATCTAAGCATAAGGCAGGAGCTGGTGTTGAGTGTCTGGGAAAGGGACAGAGATGTGTGCCTTGAGTTGTGCTCTCATTCTGGTCTCTCCTCCTCCAGTTCACTCATTAATCCTTTTCTTTTGGTGCTGCTGTCAAAACCCATGGGTGTCACCAAGAGAAAAGTGCACCAGCAACATAAACCCTATGAAAATACCTTGGACTGAAAAAAAGAGGGAACGGTGTGTTGTTGTTGTTGTTGTTCTTTAAATACTGATTTCTTGAGTTTTCAATGCTGAGATGGCTCAGTTGGTGGAAGAGAGCAGCAGTTATGTGCCTCCATCATCAGTTCACTCTCTGCCGTTCCAACTTCTGTCTTGGTTTTGCATCTCTAATCTGTCCTGCTGTCTGTGCTCATATCTTACCTCTGCCTTATGAACACTGCACAGTTCAACTTGTCAAACAGCAGAGTGATATTCCTGTGTCTTCTCATTAGCCCTGCCAGACCTCTTGTCTGAATTAGCCACCTCCTCAGTAGCCTGCGGGTGCCAGCTTTAGCCTGGCCAGGTTTCCCTATGTTCCTTGCCCTGCTGCTTCTTGTCTTGGCTGCCTCCAGGGACCAAGCGTCTCAGGAGAGATGATGATTTGGGGAAATGCACAGTAGCACTTATAACACTGTTCGGGCAGCCACTTCCCCCAACCCCAGCCCATTTCTCACCTATGGTGTAGCAAACAATAATCCTCAATATTATCGGTTTAGGGGGTTGGGGTTTTTTAAGCCTTTTTGTAAGGTTACAGTGTGTGGGCTGGGCTTTCCTTTCCTTGCAGAGCAAAGGCAGAGCTGCTTGGACACTCTGGCTGATGATATGGGGTGCTCTCTGGAAGGGACTTAGGGGGCAGACCTGGTCTTTCAACCCAGGGCTATTGGAGGACACAAGGACTTGGGGTCTGGTCAGGGTTCTGGCAGCGAGTGCTGTTGGGTGCACTGGTGCCATTTTCGGGGCCACTGGAGAGGAGGAAGGTGACTTGGGGGTGGGTGGCCAGAGGGGTAAGCAAGTGAAATGTGGTATAAAAAAGCCAGGTTCACACAGCTCGGTGTTTATCCCCTTGTTGCAGAGCTTGGACGTGAGGCAGCACCAGAACTTTGGGGGCTGAGTTAAATGTAGGTTTGACATAAAAAACCCAGCACAACAAAACACGGTAATTGTTGAAGGTGCCTAAAAAAAGTTGGCAACATGAACTCATATCTGGCCGGGGACAGGGGTATAATTTTGTCACAGGTCAAGAGGAAAATACATCCCACAGTATCTGCAGCAGGAGTTGGGTAGGGAAGAAGAGGGAAAACATCTGCTGAAAGTGTACGCATGCGTGAGAGTGAGCAGCTTGGTGTTACCCATCTTGAGGTTGAGGGGCTATGGGGAGAGCAATGGGGCTGGGTCAGCCCTGGGACCTCCCTGTGTGGGGAGCATGAGAAAGGAAAAAAAGGCGTTTGTCGCATTTGGCACCTCTGGTCCCTGCCCAGTCCTCACAGGGCAGGTATGCAAATTCCCCTGGCAGGTAATGGTGGGGGTGGGGGGGGAAGCAGGAAAGCAGGAGATCTTCAAGAATGAAATTAAGCAGGCAGCCACAACAGCAGACTGACATGTCTGCTTTCACAAGATGCTCTGTTGAGCCATGGTGGTCTCATAGCATGGAGGATGCTTCCTGGATACTGTTGTCTGAGGGTGATACATAGAATCATAGAATAGTTAGGGTTAGAAAGGACCTTAAGATCATCAAGTTCCAACCCCCTGCCATGGGACATTCCAGGTAAATTCAGGTAATCTGCAGTTCACAGAGCCCAGGCTCAATAAAAAAGCCCTGCTCAGGTTTCTTTAATTCATTTACCTTGCAGCATCAGCATTTCCAGCACTTGCCCAGGGCAGCAGAAACACCTTCTCCTACCTGGAGGATGTACAAACACTCCTCACAGAGTATCAGTGCTGTCATTTACACTTCCTTCTCAATAAAACACCTGTAGGCACCCTCCTCCTGGCCCCTCGCCCTGTGGTTGTGCCCATAATCTGCAGCTTGGTTTGTGTGAGAACCCAGCTTGCAGAGCAGAGAAGCACTGCTGCTTCAAAGCAATCTATTTGCACTTGTGGTGTGCTTTTTATTAGCAGAGAGAGGGTACTGTGGGCACAGGGGATTTAGCAATGGCCAAATACAGGCAAGGAAGTTGCCTTCCTTCCACCCAGACTGGGGCAGAGGGAAAAGCCAGGTGTAAGGCTGAGGCATGCTGGTCCTGACCTAAACCACATGGTCAGAGAGGTGCATTTGCACTGTGTCAGGATGTGTGTGTGTGTGTGTGTGTGTGTGTGTGTGTGTGTGTTCACATATGGGGGTTTGCAAACTCCCTCTCACACTGTGATCAGGTAGAGGATATCTGCACTGCTGGGTTACTGTGTTGTTTGGAGTAGGTGATCATCGAATCTGAATGGTTTGGGATGGAGAGGACCTTAAAGACCATCCAGTTCCAAACCCCCTGCTATGGGCAGGGACACCTTCCCACTAGACCAGGTTTCTCCAAAGTCTCATCCAGTCTGGCCTTGAACTCTGCCAGGGATGGGGTAGGCACAGCTTCTCTGGGAAACCTGTGCCAGTGCCTCACCACCCTCATAGTGAAGGATTATTTCATAATACCTCATTTAAACCTTCCCTCTTTCAGTTTAAAGCCACCCTGCCTTGTCCTGTCACTACCTGCCTATAATCCATGCTACACCAAATGGTATATGTGGTGTGTGTTTTCATATGTATGTTTGCATGTACATGCCCATGTATATACATGCCTATACACATGTGCATGTGTTGTTGCCTGTGTTTTCCAGAGCAGAGATTTCATCCCCTGACCAGCAGCTAGAAGAAGCTCTGGGGGTGCTACAGTCCCCTGTGCAGGGGGTGTGATCCTCTCTGTGCACCTAGTTAGTATTTCCTTTCTCCCTTGCATGGGTGCAAATGTGGGCAGGAAATAAGCATGTCCTCTCCTTCTGCCACAGTGTTTTGTGCTTCTGCCCCAAGGCGCATGAGGAGGCTGAGTGGGAATGCTCTCACGTGGGTTTCAGCACCATGGCACAGGGCACACGCTGTTCCCAAGTGCATGCCTTAGGAGGATGCCATCCCCGGGACAGGGCCTGGTGCTCGGCGTTGGCCAGGCTGTAGTTGTTTGTGTGTGTCACAGCGGGAAGTGTGTGAACGGAACAAATTTAGCAGTGAAAACAGAGGCCGGCGCAGTCGGTCATTAACTGCTGGCCCGGCTCGTCGTCCTGCAACCACAAACAGCTTTTTTGGGGCCGGCGTCCCAGCGGAGGCCGGAGGAAGTGTGGGAGGCCAGTTCCCGGTGACACCTCCACGCGTGGCCGCGCTGCCTGCCAGTGCCATTGGCTGCCCCCTGCCCGGGGCTGGCGCCGGGCAGCGCTTAAATGCCTGCACAGCCACGCCAGGGCACACAGCACGGGGCATCCCAGCACAGGCAGCCAGCCCATCCCATCCCCAGCACTGAGGAGACACCCGCTCGCACAGCGCTCAAGGTAAAGGTTTTGCTTTCTTTGGGTTGCTTCGGCATTACCTGGAGATAAAAGGGTGATTTTTGGGCAAGAGGGGTTGTAGCCAAGTTTTGGTAGAAAGCAGGACACTTGTAAGCTGGAGTGTTGGTGTTGCTTTTAAGGGAAGAATTTGGGAGTTCTTTGCTCCAGTGTGTTTTGGGTGCAGGATGATCATAGAATCATAGAATCTGTGAGATTGGAAAACAGCTTTAAGATCATCAAGTCCAACCTTTACCCCAGGACTGCCAAGTCCACCACTAAACCATGTCACTAAGGGCCTGATGTGCAGTGCAGTCAGTATGCCCTGCGGGGATGTGTTGCTGGGCTGCTTGTGTGACTTGGAAAATGACAGCAGAGCTGGAGGAAAGCCCCTTGCTGCTTCACCTGCCAGACCGAGCCAGTGGCCACAGGGGATGCAGCTCTCCATGTGGTTGTCTCACCAGGGACTCCACTTTGGGCAGCAGGGGTTTTATGGGCTGTAGGAACCACACCAGGTGGGAAGCATAGCTCTGTAGCCCACTGTCTTATGGTGCTGCCCATCTGTGGTGCCTGCTCCCATCACTGCCCCTGATCTCAGCTGGGTGGCTGGTGACATTTCTGTGGGAACAGCGAATTTGGATGAACTTTTCCACTCTTTAATGATGCTTAGACAAAATATCTGCAGGAGCATGGCCAGTTATTTAAAATTCCAAACTAAAAGGAAGTTTCTGCACAGAAGGTGCCAGGAGGTGGCACAAGGAGAAATCCTTGGCTTGTTTGATGACACACCAGGCTGAGCACCATGTGCAAGGGTGGCAAGGCTGTATCAGCTGGAAGGGCTTTGTAGGGCCTGGTTGCAACCAGGGACATGTACCAGTGTTTTGCTCTAGTGTGCTAATACTTAGCTCCCTGTTGCAGCCAAGGGGACCACAACTGACATGAGGGCTGCATTCGTGGTGCTGCTCCTCTGGCCCATAGCCTGCGCTCACCCTGTAAGTACCCATGGACAGGTACTCAAACCCCAAACCCTGGTGGTTTGCCCATCCAAGGCACACCAGTCACTGATCAGATGTCTCCTGGATGTGTTTAGGTGCCTGGCCATGAGCCCACCGGCTCCCTCCGCAGCGCCCAGCAGCAGGTAAGCCATGGGGTGCCCTGGTCCCATAAGCAGCATATTTGTAGGGCAATGAATGGGGAGCCAGCCCCAGGTAGGCATCCTTGAAGCAGGCACCTGAGGGAACACCTGCTGCTTCTGTGGGTGTTTGAGCTTTGCCCATCTGTTCAGTCTTCTCTAGTCTGGGTTGGTTTCACCTCATTTTGCCTTGTTTCCTTGTGCACATTCCCAATTCACATTGTGCGTTCTGCTGTGCTGGTCCTGAAACATGAATTTCTCTGCTCTGAACTGTCATGGCTTTTCTGTGTTACCCTTTTGTTGACGGCTACTTTTGGTTTTGCATCAGCAGAAACAACTGAAGGGTTGGGGTGAAAGCAATAAAAAGATGCTTGAGTACTTGCATGGCTTAGGAGTGATATATCATCCCATAGCAGTAGCAGTAAACGTGCAGTGGTGTTCAATAACCCAAAGCGCTGTGTTATGTTTTGTATTCAGGACACAGCAAATGAAGAGTACATCAACAAGCTGGGCAACCTCCTGGATGGTGAAGATGGCAGACATCCTCCTGTCACAGGAGAGACGGAAAATACCCTTGCCGGGGACACAGCAGTTGGGAACGCTGTGGGTGAGGACCTGGGCAAGCATGGTGGCCATGACAAGGGAGGCAGAGCTGGGGAGCCTCAGCACCTGAACCAGGTGGACCACGAGGATGCGAGTGCCCGGGGTGGGAACAGCCTGGGTTTCCTGGTGAGTGAGCAGAGAGGGGTGTTCTGCTGTGCCAGGAAAGTGAACATAGCACCAAATCTGTGTTGGTCAGGATAGCACTTGGGCTGCATGTTGAGCAGTCCTGGTGCCTGTGACCCACAAGCCTTTGCATTCATTTCCATTTTTCATCTCCACAGGAGGAGGATGCACGTGATGCTGATGACAGTGACAACGGAGAGCACCATGGCACTGGAGTCAATGTGCTTCCCTCCCATGCTGGCAGGCTCCTGGATGAAGAGGATGACAGTGGGGATGACACCTTTGATGAGAACGGGGCAGAGGATGGGGGTGAAGGTCCTACCTATGTGGCAGTTCCTGATGGGGCAGGTGAACATGACCATGACACTGGCCATGGGGACACGGGGGCTGCTGGAGGGCACAGCGACAGCAGCAGCAGTAGCAGCAGTGAGAGCATGGGGGCAGACCACCGGCAGTACAGGAACTACCTCGGTAGCCGGTATGAGCGGACCTACAGGCATGGAGGGGGCAGCAGCAGCAGCCAGGAAGAGGAACACTACAACTTCGAGGATGGAGCCATGCAGGGTGATGACCCCTCTGTCTTTGATGGCCCAGCCAGCAGCTATAAGGGGCGTCGTGCTGGCCCTCATGCCTTGGGCAGCAGCTGGGAGGCTGGCTCCCACCAATGGGAGGAGGGTGACAGCAGGTCCCCAGAGGTGGAGGATGCTGACTCGGGAGAAAACAGCCCATCCACAGAGGAAAGCAGTCAGTCAGAAGAGCCTGACACCAGCCAGTCAGAGGAGAACAGTGCAAGCCGCTCCAGGGAGGACGGGGATGGGGAGGACAGCCCATCCAGGGAGGATGAGGACAGCGAGTCCAAAGAGAGCACCGCTGAACAGTCAGATGAAGAGCCAGGGGAGTCCCCAGAGGACATCCCCAAGGAGGTGGTGAGCACATCAGGTGAGCACAGCAGCAGCCAGTCCCGGGAAGAGCAGGAGGACCAGGAGTCTGCTGAGGACAGGAGTGCACCATCCACACCTGACAGTGAGTCCAGAGAAGATGATGGCAACCAGAGCTTGTCCACAGAGAACACTGCAGAGGAGTCAAAGGAGGATGAGAATGACTCCAACCCTGATGGGGATGAGCCGAGCACATCAACCGAGAGCCAGAGTGCATCACCAGAGGACGATGGTAGCCAAGAGGATGATGCGGCTGAGGACAGCAGGTCCACAGAGAGCAACATCAGTGAGTCCCAGGAGGATGATGATGATGATGAAAGCCACTCCCAGGAGGATGCCACCCGCGAGTCCAGCAGCCGTGGGGACAACAGCTCGCCACAGAGCCTGGAGAGCGGGAGCCGCAAGCGGCGGCTGGGTGCCTACCGCAACAAGCCTGCTGCTGACTACGATGACAATGACTGCCAGGATGGGTACTGACACGTGTCACACAGGCTCACTGGTGCTGGGGGAGTGCGGGGGGAGGAGGGTTTAATTTATTTGCTATTTAGCCTGGCTGACTTCTTCCTGAGGAGATGCTGTGGGTAAAATGGAAGCAGGTTTGCCATGACTCGACCTGGGTATACTATACAGGGCATGAAGTGGGAGGTGATGCCAGGCACAGGGAAAATGCCAAACTGCAGTGAGAAAAAACATTTCCTAAACCAAGAGCTCTGAGTGCCAGCAGGGTGATGCTGCCCACTTGCCACATAGGCACAGTGGGAGCTCAGCACTGCAGGAGCTGCCAGCGCCTGGGGATGCTGGGCAGGAAGGTCCCTGTGTTCACCCCTTGTATTTACCTACCACTGCCATGAAAGCATCTGTCCAGACTCTAATGGGGGCTTTCTGTTAGATCCATGTCCTGCACATAAGGAGGGAAAGAGGAAAAGCTACAGCTGGTGTACACGTGTGGTACGTGGGCTCAGCAGTGTGTGAAGTACCACTTCAGGATGGAATGTATGTAATATTTTGTAAGAAATGTACAGAAAACACTATATTGTATCCTTTTTGCACTTGTATTTCAAGGCTGAAATGTACCCTGTTGATTTCTCTAATTACCATTAAAACCATCACACTCCATAGTGGCGTGGTCTGAGGTGTTGCTGGTTTTCTTTCTGGAGGGAGATGGGTGCTGAGATTTGAGGTTGGACTGGAGCGAGCGAGGAGCAAGAGCCAGGCTGTTCGCACTGGGAGCCACAGCATTCTGGGGTGAGGGGGAAAGCAGAGGTTGAGACATGCTCCAAACTGGGATTTCCAGGCACCCCAAGGGCCACCCTGCCCTGAGGTGACCCAGCAGTGGGGTGGAAAAGCTGGGAAAAAGGTGGGAAAAGCTGGGCCTGGGGCTTTGCTATATCATGGCCACCAACCTGCTGCAATGTGAGCAGGGGTTGTTCTGTTCTTCCTGAGGCACTGTGAAAGAGATGCTCCAGGGCACCACTGGCTCTGGGTGTTCACAGTGGCTCCTGATGCCAGCTCTCCTGCAGCACAGAGCTGGTGAGGATAAAGGGGTTGTTGTGGGCTTGTAGGTCATGGATAAAGCTTCTTTTACTCAGTGTGTTTCTTTTTTTCTCCTGCAACTATACAGCATGTTATTTGTTTAAAATCCCACCCAGGCCCTGGTTGACATGTGTATGCTGAGTTGTACAATCATCAATGGGTATCAATGCTGAGGGAGGAAGCTGTGGGCTGTTGCTTAGCAGCACAATTTTACAGCATGGAGTTGTGGATCTTCAGGGGACAGTCTCCAAGGGGTCAGCACAAGTTTGTGCATGCCTTTCAGCTGCCTTGGATGTCACTACTGAGCATTGCAATGCCAAATTCAAGAGCCAGTAAAGAAATAATTTGGTACTACTTCTAGCAAAACTGCACTTAATTTTCTACCTTAATTTGCACTTAATTTCTACCTACCACTAGAAAAGCTGGGAGATGAACAGCTCCTGGGTTTAGTGGAATTTGTATTAATTTCCACCCTGTGTAAGCCCTTCCTACTTCTGTATAAGACTAGCTCTGAAACGTACAGCTTCTCCACGTTACTGCCTCTTTCCTGACCCTCTCTCCTCTGCCCCCATGGTCTGCACAGTGGCTACCTCAGCTGTGTCTTGCCCCTTATTTCTTGGACTCTTTGCATTAGATGTGTGAGGAGTTCGGTATGCTGTGAAGTTGATGATGCCTGTCAGGGTCTTGGGTACCAAAATGCTGGTGCACAGCCCCATCGCTGGGGTGGAAGACAGCAAACACAAGTTTGGCTGCAGCCCAGAAGTGCAAAAAGAGCTGGCTGACAGCTGCTGCTTTGGTTTAAGATTGTAGCAATGATGTGTTTGCTGGCTCCCCTGCGCAGCGGCATTCGGTAGTGCTGCTGTGAAGTCTTCCGTGTCCAGCAAGCGGTGCTGCCGCGCAGGCAGTGGGGACGTTCCGGGCGCTAGCTAGGTCACATCAGAGGAGGTGTTTGCATGGGGACAGCTGCTGGGGATAGGCACTGGGAGGGGTTTTTGGCGATGGATGCCCTGCAGCTCTGCTGTGAGCCCATCCCCTGAGCAGGATGGCTGAGATGTCACAAGGGTGAATGGAGCAAGCTCTGTGAGACTGCTTCTTGAGCGCTGTGTGTGACTCTCTGCCTGTCCTCACCCTTGAGTGAGCAGTGCTGGGAAGGGTGAAGACAAGTGAAGGGGAGGCGAACACTCGTCCTCCTCTTGGCTCATGCATGAGAGACAAGCTGGGTTGATTTGCTTTAGCTTGAGCCGGAGGGGTACGTGCGTAGCAAACAGCCACGCAGCACCCGCTGCACCCTGTGCTAGCTGGCTGTCCTCCCCTTCACGTGCCTTCCCAGGGCTCTGCTGCAGTTATACGCATGTCCCCACCAGCAGCGCCAGGATTTGCCTCCCGCTGGCTGGCTGCTCCTCAAAGGCCAGGGAGCTGGTGCCAGAGCTGGCTGACGCCTGCCAGTTGTGCCGGGATGGCTTCCCAAGGGACTGTCCCTCCTGGCATACTGCGTGGGGGGTGCTGCCCTCCTGTGCCCCCTGTGCTGCACCTGGTAGCACTTGCCTGAGAGGACAGGCAGGTTTTGGTGGACACTGGTGGCACTGGGCAGTCCCCATCAAATGCTGTTCATCTCCTGTTGTCATCTGGAGAGCATAAGTGGCCAGCAGCAAGCACCTCACAGTGTGAGGTTTTGGATGGCCACAGATCAACCGGTTCTATCCCACCTGCCATGGGCAGGGACACCTTTCATTAGACTAGGTTGCTCAAAGCCACGTCCAAGCTGGCCTTGAACACTGCCAGGAATGGGGCACCTCCACCTCTGCCAGTGCCTCACCCCCCTCGTAGTAAAATAGAAAGATACTTGCTTTGAGGATCTTAAGGCATTTTTAGCAGCTTCCAATGTGGTTTTTGGTTGTTTTGGTTTTTTTTTTCCAGTGTTTGCCTGTATGCAGTATGCATCTGAGGGGAGTGTTCCCACTCTCTGCTGTCAGGCAGGCAGGAGAAGTGGCTGAGAAGGCATCTGCAGGCTCTGCCATCTCTGGAGGTGTTCCTGCATCCAGTTTTGGGCTGGTTGTGCAATGAAATCATAAGGATCAGCAAGCCGGGTGGGTTAGGCAAGGACAAAAAATGTCCACGTCAATGTATGCATTTTCATTATCCACCCACATGCCATTTTTTGTGCATTGGGGGTGGCCTCTAAAGCTGAACACAGTGATTTACCCAGGAACCAGCACTGGGGTTTAAAGCAGGTATTTTTGGTCACATTTGGGTTTATGAAAACACCAGTCTGCACCATCTTAAAAGAAAAGTTTCTTGTTTGGTGGGTTGTTTTTTTTTTTTTGTCCTTTCCTAGAAGAAAAAATTCTATTTTTAATAAGTACCTGGTGTGGCTGAGGCGGTGGGAGGCAGCAGCACTGAGCCCTGCATGGCTGCTGGACGTGGGGTGGCCACGGCATGCAAGCTGAATGCATTCAACCCCCTGATTTTCCTGGCTTGAGTGGGAGATACCCTCACTGCCAGCAGAGCACCTCTCCATCCAGCAGTGGCTCTTCTAGCTGCACAGCCAAGTGACCTGGGCTTCCCATGGCAGGCTGAGTGATGTAGCTGGCTGCAGGGCTTCTCCTTGGCCCCTGTTTGCCTTACAGAAATGGGAATATCTGTGGAAGAAACAATCAGGTAGGATTGTGCCTTCTGTGTGCCCTGGATGCATTTCTGTGATGGTTTTCTGCACCTCTCTTGTGAAGTCAGGCTGAGAGCTGGGTAAGAGAAAGCTCCAGGGAAATTTTAGAACAGTCTTATACCTAAAAGGGTCAATAAGAAAGCTGGAGAGGGACTTTATACAAGGACACATAGTGACAGGACAAGGGGGAATGGCTTTAAGCTGAAGTGAACCCACACTCTGTGAGGGTGGTGAGGCACTGGAACAGGTTGCCCAGAGAAGCTGTGTCTGCCCTGTCCCTGACACTGTTCAAGGGCAGGTAGGATGGGGCTTTGAGCAACCTGATCTAGTGGAAGGAGTCCCTGACCGTGGCAGGGGGTTGGAACTGGATGAGCTTTAAGGTCCCTTCCAACCCATGTCATTCTATGATGAGAACTCCTGCTCACCAACTGAGGCCAGGAGAGTTTGTATTTCTCTGCCCTTTTCAATGGGGAGTAAAAACCTCTGATGGAATTGCTGCTGCCATCAGTCTGGACAAAAGAAATGTCTCAGCTGTGGGAAAACAGCCTCTGACTTCAATGAAACCCCAAAATGTTAAAAACCTTTTCAATGCTCTAAGGAATTTTTGATTCCAGCTCCTTTTATTGCCATGCACTTGAATAGCAAATAACTTCCCTCCACTCCCCCAGCACAGCCATGTCCTGGGAATTTTATGGTCCTCCCAGCACTACCCCAGCACTGAGTTGGGCACATAAAGTGCAATCATTGGCATCCACCTGCATGGCACCCCCATAACTCTTTATGGAAACCTTAAAGTGTGAGCAAATGGTTTGCAGTTCAGGTTTTTCTGTTTTCACACCCTGAAATACAAAGCTGCAAAGAGCTGGTGTTTTGTTTTAGCAGAAGGTATCAGGTCTCTGAAGACAGGAGCTGAACCTGCAGCTGGGGAACAGAGGCAATGCCTACCTTTCCTCTTGCAGACCTTATGCTGTTTCATGCACAGAGCAAAAATTAGGTTCATTATAGCATGAAAACTTTCAAAACCTTCTTTTTCAGAGTGCCTAAGTGTTAAGATGCAACAGGCATGTACTTGTTTGTGTGTATGTGGATACATATGCAAGTATTTTGCAACTCATGTATGTATACAACAACAAATACCCAGTGCAAGCCAGTGGTTCCCTGCTGACACAGGCCTCTGCTGCAAATGGCAACTTTTTAAGCCCAAATGCAGGGATCTTTGTGAAGGGCCTGCTTGGGGAGGGGGTAGGCAGCCATCGCTGGTGCCTTCACACCAGCCAGATGCCCGAGTGTTCAGGGACACTGATTTGACTTAGGCAGACAGCTCAGCTCCTGAGCTGGGTTATCAGTGCAGGTTATCAGTGGGTACCTCTGCAGTGGACCTAGGCTGTCTGCCTGCTCTCCTCCTGAAAAGGGGAGCTTTTTGGGGGTTTATTTGGGCTGTTTTCCTCCTGTTTCTGTCATGTGGCTGTGTTTGAGGGCACTCACACACAGATGGAGGCAGCAGCCTGGTGGTGGGACCAGTCCTGGTAACTCACTCTGTCTGGTGCATGGGTTCTTCCTCCTGAAAAAAACAAACCAAGAAAAAACTAGAGGAAATATGATATACAGGTATTGCTCAGACACGTGAGGACCTGGGTGGTGGCAAGTGCTGGGATTTGCGATAATGATGTGACCTTGCTGAGTTTCTGTACCCCAGAGTTCAGGCCACCTCAGAGTGCTTGCGTTACAGAGCTACTTGTGGCCCACAGTTTGCCAGGCATGTGAATAGAATTAATTTTCTTTATCTGGTTTCTTGCCTCAGAAAAAAAAAAAAAGAAAATTATATTAGATGTTTAGTTGCAGAGGGCCAACATGCAAAGATTGTGTACTGATACTTGAGGTTGATGCGTGGTGCGGTTTAGGTGTTTTCTCCTCCTGCTTTTATTCTAAAATTAACTGCTTGCAAAAAAATAACAAGCCCTATGCCAGGCTGATGTTGGTTTGTGTTTAGGTTTATGCCATGAGAGGTAAGGGAGGATAAAAGAGGGATTCTTATGCTGTTGCTGGTTCACTCTCTCCTTGCTCATCACTTTGCTCCCCAGTTTGTTACCCTGGCACACATGCTCCTGTCTCTTAACAGCACAGGGGGAGAGGTGGGAGCTGGGGTAAGCTCTGCCTCTGGTGCTTTCTCCCCCAGTTTTGGAGGTGCCATGGCCACTCGGCTGCATGGCAGGGGTGCCCCTTTCCCTGGCTGCAGCAGCACCTTGGCCTCCACGCTCAATGTGTCTTTCTGGCTTTGTTTTTCTTTACTTATTTTTGGCCCTGAGGTTTCCTTCCAGAATAGCTCCAGGGCGTGGAAATAAGCTGGTGCAGCCCCAACCACAGCCTTGGCCCTGCAGCGGGCTGGAGCAAGACAGGAGCACGCTGCTCCAGCACTTACCGCCCTGCCAAATTAACAATTACATTTGGACATAGGAGCCGTGTCAACCTGCTCCAGGCAGGGATGCGCTGACCGAGAGGTCTTCATGGGCTCCGGCTCCTACATCAAAGCCACAGGCAGTGCCCTTGCCGGGCCATGCTGGGTGCAAGCCCGCCCAGTTGCAGCACTGAGCTGGTGTCAGCAGCTGGCACAAACTGCACCACCGCTGGGACACGGGGTTATCATCGCCTGCTGTGTGAGGGCAGCGATGTGCCTGTACAGGGCTTTGGGAGTGGGCTGCTGGCCTGACCCCTGCTCACTCACCAAAGCGTGTAACGAGCAACGTGGCGATGTACTTGTACACAAGTGAAAACCTGATGCGGGTGAGGAAGGGAAGCCATTGTATTTGCACACATGGGCTGCATGTTGCACGCCCACCTTGTCAGGGAATCATAGAATCACCTGCATCGGAAAATGCCTTTAAGATCAAGTCCAACCATTACCTCAGGACTGCCATGTCCACTACTAAACCGTGTCACTGAGGGCCTCATTTTTTAACACTTCCAGGGATGGTGATTCCGCCACTGCCCTGGGCTGCCTGTTCCAATGCTTGAGCACCTTTTCAGCGAAGAAATGGTTCCAAATATCCGTTCTAAACCTCCCCCGGCACGGCTTGAGGCCATTCCCTTTTGTCCTATCACTTATTACTTGGGAGAAGAGACCAACCCCCACCTTTCTCCATCCTCCTTTCAGGTAGAGTGATAAGGTGCCCCCTGAGCCTTCTCTTTTCCAAACTGAACCTGCCCACTTCCCTCAGCTGCTCCTCATCAGACTTGTGCTCCAGGCCCTTCACCAGCTCTGTCGTCCTCTGGACCCGCTCCAGCACCTCAATGTCTCAGCTGCAGTGAGGGGCCCAGAACTGAACACAGAATTCAAGGTGCAGCCTCACCAGTGCCCAGTACAGGGGATGATCACTGCCCTGGCCCTGCTGGCCACACTATTGCTGATACAGGCCAGGATGCTGCTGCCCTTCTTGGCTGCCTGGGCACAAGCTGTTCATGTTCAGTTCTGTCAGTCAGCACGCCCAGGTCCTTTTCCTTTGGGCAGCTTTCCAGTCACTGTTCCCCAAGCCTGTATCATTGCATGGGGCTGTTGTGGCTCCAGTGCAGGACCTGGCATTTTGCCTTGTTGAACCTCATACCACTGACCACAGCCCATGGATCCAACCTGTCCAGATCCCTCTGTAGAGCCTTCCTGTCCTGCAGCAGATCAACATTCCTGCTCATCATCTCAGTGTGGCCCTGAAAAATGGGGTTTTGGTACTGGGGTTTTACACATCCCCTGGAGGCAGGTGAGCTGTTCCATGTTCTGTTTCTAGCTGCAAAGGCAAGTTTATTTTCATGAAGCAGCTCCAATCCTTAGATGTGATGCCTTCTAAAATGTATTTATTATTCTTTCAAATAGGAACATTTTGAACGTGTTTGTCCAACTCCCCTGCATGGTGCTGTGAGGTTCCTGCTGCCAGTAGCCTGCACAGGCAGCTCACACTCCCTGGCCCAGGGGCTAAATATAGGTCCTGGCAGTGGGAGCACTTCAGCACACGTTAATTATCCTTTTTAGGTGCTTTTTAGGGATCTTGGGTGAAATACACATTTTTTATAGTCAGTTCTCTTTTTTTTTTTTTTTTTTTTAAGCAGCCTGCAGCAGCAGCCCTTTAATTACATTAGAAACTGCCTCCCACCAGCACTCTCTGTTCCTCAGCTCTGATGAAATTCAACCTCAAAGCTGGGCACATGCTCGCTGCTCTCCTGCACAGGGCAGCCCATGGGGCAGTGGGAAGCAGGGCTGTCTCCGTCCTCTGCCCCCCATCACCCCTCCAGCCACCCCAGCTCCCTGGGGATGGGGGATGCCGATCCCCTCACAATGCTGGTGCCTGTCTTTACCATAGGCTGCTGCATTGGCTTAGGAAAACTGCACAGCTCCTTTTTTTCCCCTTCTTTTCTTTTTTTTTTCCTGGTGTGTGTGGGTTTTCCTGGTCTGAGGAGCCAGCCTAAAGCCACAGCCAGCTCCAGGCCTCCCTTGTAATTAAGGCTCCTCACAGTGACACAACGGGCTTTGAAGCCTCTGGGGCAGGCACTGCTGAGCCCTGTACCCCCAAAGGTTGCATAGTGGGCACATGGCCTGGCTTGATGTACCCCCGCGGGGGCTCAAGGGGCCTCTAGATCCCTCAAAGCATATGATGTGCACGGTGTTTGGTCAGCAGTTAGCAGTTTCCCACCATATACCTGTTGATGTGGTGATGAGCAAAATAAGACAAAATAACACCAAAAAACTCCACTTCATCTTTCTGGTTGTGACCTGGGAATTTGGTTAACTGGAAATCCTTTGTTTCCTAATCGAATTCAGACTCAAACCGGACTCCCCTGGGTGTGGGTGAGGCTTTCAGCCTCTGATTTTGAGCAGAAACATGAGTCTTCCACTGCAAAGAGGATTTTTCTGCCCTAAATAACCAGGGTTTGAACACTGGCTAACCCGATCGTGAATCGACCTGCATTTTCCAGCACTGCTGTTCCCTCTCTGGGGGTTGTAGGGCTGAAGGCATCAGGAGGGATTTGCAATTCTCCTTGCCACTGTGGTAAGCAAAGCTGCATTCGGTGAGGAGTCATTTCCCTAAGATGCTGCAGCCCAGGCACATGCATGAGTAGGAAGGGGCCTTTGACATCATCAGCACATCACTCATGCAAGAAAAATCTAGGAAAGAGGGAGCAGAGGTGCACTGGAGAGATAAATGGCTAAAATACCATCAGGATACAGTAAATACAGGGAAAGGATGTCTCTGCAGAGTTGAGTGCCAGGGGGCACTGCAGCATCCATGTGCCCCCATCCCCTGCCATGAGGTGCAAGGCAGGAGCTCTCCAACCCCTGGCTGTATCCTGCCACCAAGGTCCCTACAGAGCTTTGGGCGGCAATGAGGGTGGAGTTTTTGCATCTTTTTTTGCCCCAGGCAGTTACTCTGCTTTGCTGGGGACATGTACAGAGCCACCAGGTTTCAGCTGGGCAACACCTGACTATGCAGAGCCAGGCGGCCCCTGCATGGGTCTGTGTGGTTCAGGGGGCATGAGAAATGAAGCAGACCTGCATTCTGTAGCATCACTGTGGCAGAAATGGCTCTCAAAGGGGGAGTGGTAACACCTGTATCCAAGTCCCCTTTTCTTTCCATGCCCTTCCTGAGGCCCATTTCACCTCTACAGACAGCCTGGAAAGTGATTTGTTTGGATTTAGCCTTTTTTTGTCTTTAATGGCTATGCCCAAGTGCCTGTGAAGCCAGGCCTTTGAGGTTGGTCTTTTTTGTCTGCTTGAAAAAACAGTGACAGAATTTCCCAAAAAGGGAGGCAGACACCCCCTGAGAACAGATTTCCCAATATTTATTTTCATTTAAACCCAGGGTGTTATTATACCCTCCGGCCTCCTCTGGCCATTGCTCTGAGGCCAGACCCTCAATTAAGCGGCACAGTGCAAACCTCCCCGGGTTTGGCAGCTGTGCGGCTGCTATGTTTGTGCACCAAATCTGCCGGCGCTCAAGTTTGGGGGTTTTCTGGTGCACGTTGGAGGGCTGGCATCACTCTAGACAGGGCGGTGACTGGCTGGGGGCGGGGGGGGAGGGGGCAAAAATAGACCTTATATCCCAGTGGGAAGCAGCGTGAGGAAATCAGTGCTGGCTGACTCCACGGGTAGCCATCAGTGCTGGGGCTGGGTAAGCTTGCTGCTGCTTTTCCTGTCTGGGTTGTGCATTGCTACCTGCTTTCTGTGGGGGATGGAGGGACTTGGCTTGCTGGTGGGGCTGGATGCTGCTTTTAGCCTTTTCCTGGGTCTATGCCTTCATGGAGCACTTGGGTGGAGGGGATGATCATCCAGAGCCTTGCTGCATGGCCAGGGAAGGTGGCACGTGGCCAGCTGTTTTCTAGGCTGAGTTAAACAAAGATGGGGAAAATTCAAGTGCAGATAAATATAACAACTCCCCTGCCCACCCCCAAAAAACTCAGCAGAACTGATGGTGGGTGTAGCTGGAGGAAGAGTAGGAAAAAGGAAGGTTACTGTGTCTGACTGGTGCTGGGAGCATCCTTCCCTGGGGTGCTGGGGGAAAGATCAGGCATGTTCCTTGCTGGAGCCATGATGAAGGCAAGCAGGCTGGGTTTTGTGGGGCTTAGGGAGTGCAGCTCAGACCTGCCTAGAGCCAAGCCTCCCCTCCTAGATATGCCTGCAGCAGGCTTCTTGCCTTTGTGCCTTGCCAGTGCTATTTTTGTCAATGCAGACTGCAGAAGCAATTATATTCATTTCTTTGCTTGCGTATTTATTTTTCCTCCATGAGGTTAGCTCTCTGAGGTGTAAATCCCATGAGCATTGCTCCCTGGGCAGACTCTGAGCAGGTTGCACGGCTGTGGGAGGGCGGCCACAGTGGGCAGCGCTCCCTCTGGCTGCTCCTGTTCCATCTCCAATGGGGATTGGCATTCCCCACTCACTTGGAGGCAATGGGGAAGCAGGAGCAACTAATCCTGCCTAGGGAAAACAAGGCATCTACTACTGGGTGAAACTTACTCTTCTGGCTTCTTTCAAAACTAAAATGTAGATTTGTTCAAATACAAAAAGAAAGACTTGGGTCTCTGGAGAGGTTGGGTGACCACATCAAGTAGTTGCTGGAGATCAGCCTTTCTTCTCCCCACTCACCCATGTGGACGCAGACACCTGTATGGTTTGGGGTAGCTGGAAAGCAAGTCTTTGCCGTATTTTGCTGTTCCTAGAGAAAGCAGCCATGAGGACTGCCCTGGTCTTCGCCTGCCTGGTGGGGATAGCATGTGCCTTTTCGGTGAGTGCCAGGCAGTTGGGGGGACACCCTGGCAACCCCTGGCCTCGCTGGGGCTGGTGTGGGACATGTGCCAACCCACCCTTTCTCCCAGGTCAAGAGCTGGCTGCGGCGAGCCAAGTTGGATGACTCAGAAGAAAACGCGGTAGGATGTCCCCCATCCCACATCCCAGCCCCATGCAGTGCTGCCCTTGAGGATGGGAACGTTTCAGTCACTCAAGCCCCAGCCTAGTGGGATTTACGCCCTTCTTCTTTCTATAGGTGCTCAAGAGCAGGCATCGGTATTACCTGTACAGATATGCCTACCTGTATCCCCCACAGCAACGGTACCAGGTGGGTGCTTCAGAGAGGCTGCTGATGCTTCGCTGCCCACAGAATGTGGAGATTCTGACCCAGATGAGCTGGGGGCACGGTCTGCCATTGCCTTGCAGGGCAAGCATCACAGTTGTGATGCTAATGGAGATCCCCAAGTCTGGCTACCTATGGCTTGGTTTTCCATCTCCTTAGGGCAGTGACTCATCGGAGGAAGAGGGGGACGGCTCAGATGAGGAAGAGGAGGAGGGGTGGGTGAGTACAGCAAACCATCAGCCTGAAAAACAAATACGGGAATTTGGGGACTTTCTTTGGTTTTGTAGTCTCTGCTCATCATCTCTTGTGGCTGCTGACCGCCCACAGCCTTGCGCTCTGGATGAGACTGGATTTGCTACTCTAGGCTTTATTTGATTGTGTTTTGTATGTTTTCTCTTTTTATTTCCTTTCTAAAGAGGATAGGCACAGGATGGACCAACAACAGAGACAAACTGTCTGGGTTTCCATTTTCAGTGGCTCAGAAAGGAGCAGGACAATCCAAAGGGCAGAAACAGGGAGGATCACACAGGCAAAAAGTACTGTTAGGGACTCCTCTTACCTTCTCCTTTCCGGGTGCATTGCCCCCATAGAGCTGATAATATTGCTGTGGGAAATACAGTTGTGCTTTGCACATGTCTGTGTGAAGGGACACAAACTGGTGCTATATTGGGAAATACACATCTGTACCAGCCCAGCTAGAAATGCTGCTCCTCTCTGCTGGGTCAACATGCATTGGTACCACTGCATTTGAGAGAGTCACTCAGGCCCAGAATTATAAACCAGGGATTACAATGGTGTCTTGTGCCCCACCAGGCTGCAAATGCTCACAAATAATCCAGTAGTCTCAGGCATACAAGTGCTCTGAGACAGGGATCCAGCATACTTGGAAACCTATGTGTCAGGTGTAATCACCTCTTTTCTCTTTCCCCCCCAATTTATTTTAGTGATTTAAATGCCAGTTTCAGCGGTCTTTTTAACAGGAGTGTAAGCCTGGGCATCTGGTCTTGAACCCCACTTTGCAGGCCTGCCTGGGGCTGGGGTGCAGCATGAGGTGGCCTCTGCACCTCCCTGCAGTTTGCCCCTTTTTGCCTGTTGCTCTTTCCTACCACTGGGATCATTAGGGATAATTTCAAGTAGTGAGATGGGACAGCCAAAGGGGGAATTTCATTCCTGAGGAAGAAATTAAGTGATATGCATGAATGCAGCTGCATCTGGGGAATGCAGCCTGCTGTTCCAGGTAGCCTTTTTTGTGTCAAGGGCAGCAGAGCAGTGGCTGTTCAGGAGCAGGGATGCAGGAAATGGTCAGCAGGATAAATCATGATTAAAGTCCCCAAGGTCTTTACAAGCCCCTCAGGTATATAAAGAGCACGATTATATTGGCTACTAGATGGGGGGCATCCCCGCTGCAGACCCACTACAGCTGGCTTCACCATGCAGTCTGGTGGCTCCCCAGTGGAGAAGAAAACAGCCTGGTTTTTTTTTTCTAGCTTCAGATACACCCGTATTTTAAGTGTCTGAGTTGGCCCAAAACACCAGGGTGAGCATCCTTGGTCTTGGCACATGAGCAATGGGGATTGCCCTGGGCAGGGATGGCAGTGACCCTGTGTCTCCCTGCCATACCTGGGTTCATTTGCTGGTGGCAAGGTGCTCCAAGGGCTATGGAGAGGGCGAGCTGCCCCACCAGTTCTGCAGTGGTTGCTCCAGGCTCTGCTTGAATTTGGGGTATTCATTTCCTCTTTTATCAGCATGGACTGCTGTGCACCCTGCTGAGGGATCCGCTCTGCTGTGTGGTCCCTGGGGCTGAGTGGTGCTGATGGCTTACTGCTGGTGGGGCTGGGGCTCATGCCTCACTGTCATGCTCTTGCCATCTATCTACACCTTGTGTGTAGTGTGTCTGCAAGTAGTGTGCCTGTGGCTTTCTTTGTTTGTTGGAAGCCAGGAGAGGTAACTTCAAAAGCGAACCTTTAGATGCTTCTTAAAGCAAAATGTGTAGCCAGAATGGGAACACCCAGCTCCAGCCACCACCACTTAATTGCATGGCTGGGGTTGCCCTGCTGCAGCTTCTCGATTTCAGCCTAGGGCGAGACCCGTGGGAAAGAAGGAAACTCAGAGCAGTGCCAAACACTGTGCAGGGATGCTGTGTGCCCCCCTCACTGCTGGGGGGGGGGGGGTGTGCTGTGCTCCCACTGCTGACCACCCACCCTGTTCTCTCTCTGTCCTTGCAGAAGCCATCCCATGCTGGCACCAAGGCAGATGGCCACCTCATCGGAGCAGCCCCTGGAGACAGCAAGGGTGGGCTGAGAGGAGACCTTGCATGCCCCCAGCAGGTGTGTTTTGGGTGGCTGGAGGGGAGCTCCCATGGACAGGGGCTATGTTCAATGCATGTTTGCTTGCACCCATGTGGTGCCCTGCACCCCTTTTCTGCTTGAGGGTCTGCTGTGCAAGATACCCATAGCTGGACCAAGCTCTGACCATTAACTTGTCAAGAGGGTTGGAAGGGGCACCCCAAAAAGGCAGTTTTGCCATTCAAGGGATGGGAGTGATGCTCAGCTCTGCCCACACCTGCCCCATGTCATGTGGCACCAAAAAGCTATAACCTTCCAGCACCCAACTAAAAGTGTTGTTTTCCCCTGCCAGGGCAAGGGCTGCCAAGGGCCTCTAAAGGCAGACAGGAACGGCACTGTGGGCAAGGGGGGTGACTCTGAAAATGAAGACAGTGATGAGAATGAAGAGGAAGAGGAGGAAGAGGAGGAAGAGGAGGAGATAGCCGAGAATGAGAGTGGCATCAATGGCACAAGCACCAACACCACTGAGGGCGCAGATGGACCTCATGGCAATGGCACTGCAGTGGCTGAGGAGGGCACTGCTGCAGCTGAGGAGGAGGAGGAGGAAGAGGAAGAAGAAGAAGAAGAAGAAGAGGAGGAAGAGGAGGAGGAAACTGAAGACACCACCGTTCCCAGCACCACCAATGAAGAAGGGCTGACCCAGGCAACCACCACAGGAGATGTGGCACCCACGTATGCCACCACAGCCGGGGAGCAGTGGGAGTATGAGGTGACGGTCGGGAGCCATGGCCGAGGGGATGAGGGCACCACCGATGGCAGCTATGGGGAGCAGGATGAATATGCCCGTGGGGACAGCTACCGGGCCTACGAGGATGAGTACGGCTACTATAAGGGGCACGGCTATGATGTGTATGGCCAGGATTACTACTACAGCCAATGAGCAGGGAGTGAGGGGCAGCCCCAGTGCTGGCCCCTCCTGCCCCATCTCACTCAGGAACATCCATCTGCATGCTCCCTGCAGCTGCCACGCCCCGGAGGGGATGCTGGGCAGCTTGTGGTGTGCACTGGCTCTGTCCCATCCTTTTTTTGTATTTTAAGAAGCAAAACGAAATAAAGCAACAGAACTGAGCTTCTTGATGATAAAAGCTCTACTGCCAAATTCACTGGGGTCAGTGGGGCAGCACAACGCTTGGTGGATTTGAGGGGCTGCAGGTGCTTATGCTGCTCAGGGTTAAATCTCTTTATTCCAGCTCAGGTGCACACAAAAAGAGGGAGAAGCAGAAAGACTAACTAGGAATGCCTCTGTAGAGTCCCCTCCAAAAAATGAAAGGGCATTTTCAGGGTCACTGCTGTGGGATTACTGCCATGTCTTACATAGAGTTGGCATGAATTTGCAATATGTGGGTGATGATAACTTTACATCTTCCACTCCTTGGTAGCATGCCTCCTGTAGCCTGACCACACACCAGGCAATATTAATAAAGGTAATGACGTTAATTTCTCTTTTCATGCATCACTAGCTGTAAATTCACATCCCTGTAATGACAGCTTTGCTCCTGCAGCTCTGAGCCAGGCATGTGGGTCACACCAAATCCAGGCACCTTGGACGTGTGTTTTGGACATGAGTGCTACAGCCCAAAACAGTCCACATCTCTCCCCACCACACAGTCTCATCCCCAGGGCAAGGTAAGGGTGTCACAGTGGCAGTGGTGCCTCTACCTGCCTCCTGTATCAGAGATGGGGATGCCTGGCTTGTGGTCCCCAGATCTCTACCCAAAGTCACCTCCCCATGTGAGCATGGGCCCAGTCAACTGGGGATCAGCACCAGGGATGGGGAAGGACCAAATTCCTCTGGGTTCCAGGCAGGGCCCCCATTTATGAAAAGTGATGAGTTACAGCAGGTACCATGCTGCCCTCTCACTCCTGGAAGGGAAACTTATGTTCAGCTTCCAGTATAGATCAACCTGTAGATCAAGTTTCTATTCTCCTTTGCTGGCCACTGTACAAAACCACTTCCATGCACCAAAGCTGGGCTGCAGCTGCCAGGGTGGCAGAGGGTGCTGCCTGCAGGATGGGAGCCCAGAGCCAGATACCTGCGGTGGCACTGGGGAGCCCTGCAAGATTTTGTGGTAGGGGAACCCCATTGTCCACATCCCCAGGGATGCCCAAAGACGTCAGGGAACCAGCAGGGACAAAGGGCCCTGGCACTGCCGAGGGCCAGGTCCTGCTCCCACAGGGCACATGGCCCAGTCCCATGTGCGTCAGTCCCCTCGGGCACCTGGCCAAAGCTCTGCTCCCTGAGCCAAAGCGCGCTGGCCACTGCTCCAGCATTCACGGGGCTGCATTCGACTGCAGCTCCCTGGCCTGGTGGAAAGGGCAAGTTTCCTCCTGGCCCTGAGATTTGCTCCCACCTGAGGCTGGATGCTGATGTTTTGAGTATTTCTGGTGTTAATGCAATGGTTGTGCCCACTCCCAGGGTTTGGTTTGAGGCAGGGTGTCATGCAGGATGGGAGCTGTTGTCACCATCACCACAGTGAGCCACCTAGCCAGGCTGCCCACAGCATGGGCAACCCCCCTTGGCATATGTGTAGGTGACCAGCAATACCACTAAAGATAGAGGGTGCAGAAATAGACTACGTATGTTGTGCACATCCTTGTAGCACACCTTCCTACAGCAAAGGTGGGCTTGAAGAGACCTGTGGAAGCCCTGCATTAAAAAAATACCTTTTTTTTAAAACCACTCTTCTATTTTGCACTTGCACAGGGATGGGGTGCTCAGCCTCAGGCGGGCTGAGGTTGAAACCCCAAAAGCAAGTGTCAGAAGCTAAGGCGTGGTGGCAGCTCTCAGCTTGGCCAGCACTGTCCCACAATGCCTGTCGTGGCTGCGACCAGCACAAGCTCATTGTATCACCCTTCTGTTCCTGCAGCCTTGTCAGGCTTTCCCATGTCAGTCACAGTGAGCACGTTAAAACCCCCTGCAACCCATCTTATCAATAACCAGGCTGGACGTGTGCCACACTAAGATCTGCGCTAATCATCGAGCAATTTCGCCTTCAGAACAGATATTTATAACCCATGCTTTCTGTTTATCCAGCCAGGTGGAACATTTGATAGCTGTCTTCCACCACAAACACATTTTTAGCTGGAAATTACTCCCCCTGGTTATCTGCGGGTGCTGCCAGCCCTGACAAATGTCCCTGGGCAGGAGCTGATTGGCTCTGCACACCCAGGGCCAACTTTAAATTTCAGCAAAGTGGACACAGCCTCCACGGTCTGCTGCTGGGACCTGCCTCCGACAGCAAAAGGTAATCTCCTTACCTGCTTTGCCTGGCCTGTCTCTCCACAGCCCTTCGTCTCTGCTCTCTCTGAGCAGGGCATCTTCTGCTTTCGCTCTGGGCAAGCCTTGGTGGGGACAGGGAGATGGTCCCAGCCTCAGCTATGCATATCTCTACGTTAAGCTCTCTTGAACCTACATTGCTTTGTACTGCTGATCCTTATGGAATCATAGAATCCTTGCATATGAATTTCCTTCTGATGTTTTCTGTAGCAGCTCTTGCATGGTTGAATATAATTTCTGGGCTAGACCTGCAAGCCCAAGCCAGGGTGGATCGGTGAAATGAGAATTATTAGCCAAAAGAGCTATTGTCTTCTGCCATTTATCTGTGCTGTTAAAAACAGTGTGCAAGTGTCTTAATCCAGGCTTACGACTGTATGGCTTAGCCTGCAGTGGTTGTGGTGGTCATTTATTGCAAATATCCACCCAAGGTGTTTTGACATGGCATGTTAAGAAGCTTTAACAGCTGGTGTTAAAGTACCCAGTCAGTGCTGCTGGCCATGGATGTGTCCTCACCTTGCTGCTGTATGCACGTGGTAAGAGCATCACCTTTGCTGCAAGGAGCGCAGAGAGGCACAGTAATGCTGAGGGCCACTGCAAAGGATGGGGAAAGCCAGGGTCACTGGATAACCTGCGCTGTGGGGGATTTTGGGTTGCTGCTGACTGGGACTGTTGGATACCACAAGTTCCAGGAAAACAAACTTCAGTGATGCTTTCCTTTGTGTCTCCAGGAGCTGCCCAAGATGCAAACAGCCCTCGTGTGCCTGTGCCTGTGCCTGCTCAGCACAGCCCTCTCAATACCTGTGAGTATGGCTCTCCCCAGCTTCCCAGTGTGCTGCTGAAAGCATGGGGTGTGCCATCCAGTGTGGCCCACCACGCTTTCAGCAACAGGAAAGCATGAGTTGTGCTTCCACATAGCACCTCTGGGGCTTGGGGTGGGGGATTTGAAGTGCTGGCACAAAGTTGAACACAGCAAGAAAAATATATGTTGTCACTGAGGAATATTAGTACTGAGGTGCCTGAGCTTTTGGCCTGGGAACAGCCTGAGCAGAGCAATGGAAAGGGAGGCACAGGGAGGATTCTCAGCTTATCCATGTGGGTATCAGTGGTCAGAGGGGTGCCTGCAGTTATATTCCAGCTCTCCTAAAGTGAAATTCAGACAGGCATAACTGAAACAAAGGGCAAACTAAGATGAATATAATAGCAGTCATTTTTCTCTCTGAAACTGCTTCCCAATGTATTACATACACAGCTAGAGTGAAAATCTGCTCCTAGTGAAGGCATGTTTTTCTGGCATGGTAAGGAGGAGGGAAGCCACATCTTCCCTGAGGGCTGGGCACCAGTTGTGTGTCCTTTAGCCCCCATAACAAGCTAGTACAAGCAGGTCTGTTGTAGGGTAGCACAGGGGGAGGCAATAAATCAGCACAGATTTGCTTTTCAGATAGGGGTACAAAAAAGAGGCAGGTAATACTCTGTTGTGTAACCAGGGCTGTAATCCAGCCTTTGACATTGTTCACAAGCAGTAGAATAACTCCAGAATATTTAATACTCTGGGGTACATTTCTGCCCCTTTCAGCTGTGCTCAAGGCACTTCAGTGGCTGATTTTGCTGAGATTGGAGGTGGCTCAGGGCCACATTCTCATGTAGGGAATGGCTTGGTGAGGCTCACAGGATGCTCCCACCTCCAGGTTCCCCATCCCTGAGGGATACACTGGCCAATACATCTCAAAGGATGCCAGGATAACCAGAGGAAGACAGAAGCTTGTACAGAAACCTGGCTGTGGGGGCACAGCTGTTGCTGCTGAGTTTGCCCAGTAAACACTGGGAATCACTACCAGTTAAACCAGCTTCAGGCTCTCATTGCAGCCAGATCCCAGACGTAAGCTGCAGCTTATTGTGGTGCAAGCAGTGCTCTGCAATGAAAATACCCTGCAGCATAATCCAGGGTATTTGCAGAGCAACAATATCCCATTAAAAGTAGCTGTATCATATTAAAAGCATGCTGTAGCAGGATTTGCAATACTTGTCAGACCTTCAGAATGGGGTTCTGACTTTTCCTACTACTGCTGGCTTTGAGCCAGTACCCCAGGTAGCACCTTAGGATTTATGGGCTTACAAACAGTTTTCCCACCCTTCCCTGGACACCATGGCATGCCCATCACACTGGGCAAGGAGAGTGGCTAGCAGTGGGTGCTGGAAACTGCCTGCACACCAGGGCAGCATTTGACACCTCAGCTCTCATTTGTGTTTTGCTGCCAACAGGTACCACCGCCACTGTCTGGGAGAGCTGCTGGGAACTGTGCAGGACAGCACCGGGTAAGTCCCCCCTGCCCCATCTGGACCCTATAGGAAAAAAAAACATTTTTGGAGGGCAGCCCTAGCGAGCCACAGAAAAAGAGACCATCTGTCTGCTTGCATCTGAGCAGCCTTTATGAAGAGCAGGGGAGGTGAAAGTTGTGATGTGCTTAAGCAGAAAAAGGGCTTCCTTCAACACCAACTGCTGCTCTGCCCCTGCCCAGCCCCAGAGCATAAATGCTTGATGTACCCTCAGGTGAGGCTGCAGAAGTCCCAGGCCCACTAAAACCCTGCTATAGGGTTGGTTTTGTCAAAGCATATCAGTGTAAAATGCATCAATAGAAAAATTCAGATGAGCAGTGTGGGAGAAAATGTCTGGTTTTGCCTATTGGAAGCCAGTTGCTGTCTTTCCAGCACTTTAGTCACCATCAGTCCCATCACTTAATGTCTGGTGGGACCATCAACCAGGTTGTTCATTCAAACCATAAGCTACCCCGTAAAAATGAGCCCAAGGGAAAGCCAAACCCTGGAGATCAGGAGGCAAGCACCTGAATCCTACCCAGGTCCCTGCCCACAATGGCAGCTATAAGGTAGTGAGAGCTACCTTCTCAGGGCTCCTGTGGATGCTAGTAGGACCCTGCTGCAGTGCCAGGTACAGCAAGGCAAGCTCTTGACATCACATTTACTAAGAAAATTGTGGGGTTTGCTTCTTTTCTTCTCCACCAGATACTGCTGAAAGGCTGCAATGCCAAGCATGGCTTCTATGTCTTCAAATACGTCTACTCGTTTTCAACACGGAGGAACCAG